TATCGTATGCAAATGTCTAATAACGAACTCTTCGTAATCAGTGGATCGATTAATCGGGGTCTTACGTACATTATTGCGAAAAATATATTCATACCGTTGAAGTTTTAGTTGTTACCTGTGTAACAAGTTACCTGTGTTTTAGAGTTAAACAGTGTCCTGGGACTATCACGTCGATCAGGCGTCTCCGCACTATATTACAGCCAGTAGTACTGTGTCCCACTGCTGCTGCTGTAGCGCTCACATCAAAAGTTAGTTTCAGAATAAATTTGGTAATTAAGCGCAAATAACGACAAGTTGGAATAACACACCCATAATAAAGTTGGAAAACACGAAATGGAGCAGATATATACTTGTCTGGCATCTCATTTTCCTGCACTCATCGACACCGATTCCGCATAATCGTCCCCCACTCCTCACAGTCTCTGTCACGCTAGGTAATAATTTAGTAGGCAGAACGCATTTACGCTAAACCACGTAAATAAACGGTAAGTGTATCAGTACGAAGCGTGTGATTGTGTCTCAATGGAATAACGTAAAGTGTGGTGCGGAGCGCGTTCGATTAAGTTTCTTCCGCAAGCTGTCGTATCTATTTGGATCACGCGCCACGGCTATTCAAGTAACCAGTAGCTCGGGAAATTTTTAAACATTTATGAAGGATGCACAATTACGAAGTCTGCTTTTTCCTCGGGAAGGATGCATTTCAGCGATGATTTTGGTCCTAGACGACTGCGTTTGAGGTTTGATTTCACCGAGTACTTAACGTAGCAAGAGAAATGCGTGTACATATATACGCATGCATGACTTTGTGAGTGCGATAACGTTTTTTCCAGCAAAAATATTCAACAATTCTTTTGCTTTTAGCACCCAAGAAAATCGACAGATGTATGGGAAATTGTGACGACGTCAAACAGAAGGTATGTTTATGAGCAGTATTTTATTTCTATTAGCTTGACTTTTAAATGCATGTCAGGCGCGTCTCTTTCCTTCTCTCTCTCTCACTTTCTTTCCCCGCTCTCTCTTTCTCTCTCTCTCGCTCTCTCTTTCTTTCCCCGCTCTCTCTCTCTCTCTCTCTCTCTCTCTTTGCGTCTCTCTTTCTCTGCTACTCTCACTTTCTCTCTTTCTCTTCCTTCCTCGCGATCTCTCTTTTTCTTCACTTGTTTTCTTTCTCTCCCTCTCTCATTTTCTCTCTTTTCTCTCTCTATCACTTTTGCTCTTCCTATCTTCCTATTTGTCTCTCTCTCTTTTTTTTTTCTCTCTCTTTCTCTCTTGCGTTGTCTCTCTCTCTCTCTTTTTCTTTCTCTCTCGTTCTTTCTTTCGTTGTCTCTCTCTCTCTCTTTCTTTGTCTCTCTCTTCCTTTCTCTCTCGCGCCTTCATCCTTCCTCGCTCTCTCGATCATGAAGCGTAAACTCTTATTTGTTTGTACACGATGGGATCTTACTAGCATATCGATAACCGTTGATGTTATAACTATTCGTTAACTAATAAAGTAGAAGGTATAGATCAGAGTAGTATTCACGTCTGCCTGTTACCTAACTGCAAGAAATTCGCTAAAATCTGTTGCCATGAACGACTGACTACATTATCCCATCAAACGTGCCTCTAGTATTTGTCCCATAATGCGAAAAAATAAACGTCATGTGTATTTAAAGGGAATGTAAAATGACAGTAGGACGAAAATTCACTTTTTATTGGGTTTTCCTGTTTTGCAGAATATATAATATTTCGTTTAACGTGCACTTGAGCAACCTTTGTGATTCTTAATGATCAAAAGCAAGAGAAAACGATGCCTCAAGAGCATTATACACATTTACAATGTATTGAATTTGATTAATTAATACACAGAAAACAACTTTTACCTGACTTAATTTGATACTTAATTTGCGCTAGAGAGCATTACCAGTGCGGTTTTACAGATTTCTAAAATAGGCCTTATGCACATTTCGCAAATTTACGCATAAGTTGGTTATGTTTAGACGTTAACTTGCTTTTATTACATAATTTATAGTTAACCTTTACAGCTTGGTTAATGTGCTTGCGTGTTTCTGTAGTGCGGCGGACATTCGTGCGGTAACATGCCCAAGTTGGAGAAACACTGGACAGACGTACTAAAGCTCAACCTATTAATGGCCTACATCACACGTTACATGATGGGCACAGACAAACTCAGGTATACCTATATATTACCTTACTCAATGTCTATACATTACCAACTAAGGCACTCTTGTCGTGACCTGGCTGATCCTACCAGGAGTGACATATTTTCAGCAGTATATAATCGCATATTTGGGATTATATACTGCTGATAATATGTTACTCGTGGGAGGATCAGCCAGGTGTAAAGAGTTTGTCCGTGATCTGAGAAGGTATCCCTTATAAACTCCATCTCCCGCAATCAACCCATGTACCAATTAAATATCAGGAGTAAGGTAATATATAGGTATACCTGAGTTTGTCTGTGCCCATCATGTAACGTGTGATGTAGGCCATTAATAGGTTGAGCTTCAGTACGTCTGTCCAGTGTTTCTCCAACTTGGGCATGTTA